ATTCTATTCTATTCTATTCTATTCTATTCTATTCTATTCTATTCTATTCTATTCTATTCTATTCTATTCAGGGTTGTCTTTTCAATTCTTATTTTATATTGCATACTAAGAGTATCTTGAAGAATATGGTAAAGGATAAGATGGCAGTCGTGGTAATATGACTGAAGCTCTGTCCTTTTCATAGGTCCATTGCTCATAGGTCCATTGCACAGGTGACACAAGTTTTAAAAAAACCCAGCAATCAATTGCACTGTTAATTGCCAGGTTGGCTTTTTTTTTAATATCACATCCTGCAGCGACCACCTGCTACATCATTTATGAAGAGTTGGCCTCTCATCCATTTTGTCCTGTCGAGGTTTTTATTTCCTTTATTCTGGATTATCTCTCTCTCTGACTCTCTCAGTGCTGAGGCCAGTGGCATTCATTTTGAACAACTCACGTATGACACATTGAAACAGCTGAGGAAACTTTTACTGAAAGTGTGACTTGTTGGCTGTCATGCTCCATTGAACAGGTTGCTCAGCTAGTGACACGCTGGATGCTGTGCTGAGCTGATGTTCATTTCAAGGAAGGGTGCAAGGAACAATTTCTACCGAGGGCTTATTACAGGAAGTCCTTGACTTACAGCCATTTTGCGACCGTTCAAAGTTACAACAGCACCGAAAAAGTGACTTATGGCAGTTTCCCGCAATCAGGACCATTGTGGTCATGTGATCAAAATTCAGGGGCTTTACAACACGTATGCGTTTACGATGATTGCAGCAACCTGGAGTTACATGATTGCCAGTTGTGACCTTCCCAGCTGGCTTCCAACAAGCAAAGTAAATGGGGAAAGGTGGATTTGTTTAATGACTGCGTGATTCACTTAACACCTGCAGTGATTTGCGTAATCGCCATGGCAAAAAAGATCATAAAATCTGGAGTGAGTTTACTTAAGGACCACTTTGCCTAGCAATGGGAACTCTGCTCCTAGTTGTGGCCACGAGTTGAGGACTATATTGGCTGCCAAACAGGCGAAATGAAAATGCAATATTGTTAAGTTGCCTTTTTCCATTTCTCAAACCTCTGAGCTTCAGACCAGCTGCACTCAAATTTTGGTCACCACACTAAAAAAGGATGTTGAGGCTGTAGAAAAAGTGCAGAGAAGAGCAACCAGGATGATTAGGGGACTGGAGACTAAAACATACGAAGGATTGCAGGAACTGGGCACGGCTAGTCTGGTGAAGAGAAGGTCCAGGAGAGACATGATAGCGGTCTTCCAATATTTGAGGGGCTGCCACAGAGAGGAGGAAGGAGTCAAGCTATTCTCCAAAGCACTTGAAGGCCAGACAAGGAATAATGGATGGAAACTGGTCAAGGAGAGATTCAACCTGGAAATAAGGAGAAATTTTCTGATAGCGAGAACAATCAACCCATGGAACAGAAGTTTCCCTCAGAAGTTGTGGGAGCTTCATCCCTGGAAGCTTTCAAGAAGAGATTGGGCTGTCATCTTGTCAGAAATGGTGGAGGGTCTCCTGCTTGGGCGGGGTGGGGGTTGGGGTTGGACTAGATGACCTCCAAGGCCCCTTCCAACTCTGTTAATCAAATCTAAAGTAAAAAAGTCGGCTAACTCGCCCGCGGCGGTGTGAGTGGGTGGGGAAGCGGGGCGCATCGATGGCTTCGGGGCCTGGCGGCTGGGACCTTCACCACCTCCACCCCTAGTTTAGCTTCCCCACCCGCCCTTCCACGCTCCGTCTGGGTCTCTGTGGAGCGCAAAACCGCGCCTCACGGCTCGGCCGCCAGAGCTCCGGCGGGCGGGCAGAGAGAGAGCGCGCGCGAGAGAGAGAGAGAAAGCGCACGCGCCTCCTCGCCCGCCCGCCCTCCCGCCCGCTCGCTCCCGCGGCCTCTGAATGGAGCCGAAGCCGCCAATGAGCCGGCGGGCTGGCACCCCGCGGCCCCGCCCACTTCCCTTTTGCGTCACGGGGCGCTTCGATGCGCTCCCAGGAGTTTGGTAGAAGCACCGGCAGATGGTGAGGGCGGCTGGGCGCGCTCGGAGCTGCTGTCGGGGCCCCCCAGGAAGGGATGCGCTCCAGCCCGGACGGCATTGCCCAACAACGCTCGCTCGCCCGCGCGGCTGCTGCTGCTCCTCCTTACCTTTAAGGCGGACGCGGGGAAAAGGAGAGCGGCGGCTGAGGCGGCGGCCGGTGAATCAAGCCGGGAAGGGAAAAAAAGGCACGGAGAGCCCGCTCGGCCCCCTGCCCGTCGCTTCCCCGAGCCCGGCGCGGCGCCGTCCGGCTTCCTTGTGGCGCAGGAGCTCGAGGTCCTCCTGCCTGCTCGCCTCCCCCCCGCCCCCCGCCGCCTTCCAGCTCCATGAGCCGCCAGCTGGAACCCCGCAGCCCCGCCGCGCTTCTGCACTCGCCGGCGGCCGCTCCCCGCTGCCGGAGCGCTCCTTCCAAGCGCCTGCTTTTGCACGACGCCGCCGCCGCCAGCGAGGAAGCGCCGGCCGCCGCCAAGTGCGCCCGCCTGGCCGTCGATTACACCAGCGCCGTCCCTCAGGATTGTCTCAGCGCGCCCGGATCGCCTTGCGCTCCGGTTCCGCCGGCTCCTGCCGGCGAAGGTTCGCTTTCCAGCGCCCAGGGACCCAGCTTGGTGGCCGGCTACCTTTTGTTGCCCTTGCTCGACCGGGAGCACGTTTCGAGGGCGCTCGACATCAACACCGGCCGGGAGCTGCGTTGCAAGGTAAGCCGGGGAGGTGGCGGCCGAAACCCGGCGCCATCCGGGAGCCTCTGCAGCCTTCTTCGGGGCTTGGGATTTGCGGCCGGGCCGGGGCCGGGCAGAGCGACCTTCCTTGGAGAGGGGTTGGGTGGGTGGGAGACAAAAAGCGCGGCGCTTCTTCCACTTGAATCATGGAATAACAGAGTTGGAAGGGACCTTGGAGGTCGTCTAGTCCAACCCCCCCTGCTCGAGCAGGAAAGTCTATATATACCATTTTCGGACTTGAATGGGACTCGGTTTAAAGGCGGCCGTCATGAACCACCTCGAATATCCGGCGTTTCAAGGGCAAAAGCTGGATCGGATGTTGTGCATCACAAAGCGAAGATCTGACTTGCAAAAAAAAAAAACAAGCCGCCGCGTTTCTTTTAGGACAGCAAGTAGCGTGCTGGATCGGACGGGTGTCTGAGCAATTTTGAGTGTGTGTTTGTGTGAACGGGAGAAAGGAGAAGGGTCCCCGAAAACTGCCACTCGAACCCCACGGGGCTCCCTTCTTGCCCTTTTGCTTTTTGAAAAGGGGGCTTTAAAAAGCAAAAACAAAAACAAAAAAAACCCACACAACAACCCAGATCGCCTATGAGCGGCCGAGGAAACCTACATCTGAAAGCCGAGAAGGCATCGATTTGGTGCCGGGATCGGGACCAAAGAAGGTCTCGGGAAAGATAGATACCTATTTTTTTAAAAAAAGAACCTTGCAAAAAGCGATGCCTTTCTTAATTTCCTAATTGGGGACCCGATTCGGCTGCGCTGCACTTTGCAAGCGCAGATTTTGGCCCAGAAATGTGTTTTTTCCGCGCCCCCCCCCCCGATCCTTGCAAGAAAAGAAGCGGATCCCCGGTGGATGCGTGTATTGTGTATGTGTGTGTGTGTGTGTGTGTTTAACTGCATTCGGGAAAGGTACCCTATGACTATCATTAAGTGTTGTACCTTATTTACTCTTGACGAATGCATCTTTTTTTTTTTTTTAATGTCCACTGAGAGCATTTGCACCAAGACACATTCCTTGTGTGTCCAATCACACTTGGCCAAGAAAGAATTCTATTTCTATTCTACCAAGATCCTGGGAGTAAGGAAGGGTTTAGGTTTCCTCCGTCATCCTCCTCTTGTTTTCCGCTCCCCTCCTGCAGCCTAGTACGCAAGCAGGAGTTGGACTGCCACTAGCAGCGGAGAGAGCTTTCCAAGTTTTCCATGAGGTGTCTCCTCGGCTCTTTAAATAAAACACGCGCTCTGCCTTCCCCGGCGCTTTCTTGCCTTGCCGGGGAGAGAAAAGGAGGCCGAGGCTGCAGCCCTGAAGTTTCCTGCTGCCACCTGGTGGCCTCTCCGGCCTGCTTGCTCTCGCTGCAGAACCGTTGGAAACGAATGGGGAGCTGCTGCTCCTGAGTTCAAAGTCCACGGTGGAATACTTATTGTGATGCAGGAGAGGGTGAAAATCAAAATTGGCTAACCTGCTGCCGAATAATCGACTCCCTCTGGCAAGGGGTTCCCCCCAAACTTAGCCACTTTTAAGACTCGTGAACCCCAATTCCCAGAATCCCCAGCCGCTGTGCTTTTAACTTTTAAGAGATGTGACCTGGCTGGGGAGTTCTGGGAGATGAAGTCCACGAGCCTTAAAAGTGGCCCGGTTTGGACATCCCTGCTCTAGAGCAGTTGTTTCCCAACCGTGGCAACTTTAAAGATAGGTGGACTTCAGCTCCCAGAATTCCCCCAGCCGGTCTATACATCTTAACCAAAGTTATTTAAGCATGGGGGCTGGGGATTCAGGGAGTCGAAGTCCACGCTTCTTAAAAGTTGGGAAACACTGCGCTGGAGTCTTTAGGCCACTGGCCTCCCCTTTGTAACCTTCTGCTTTCCTCCTGCTTCTAGAAACAGCCTAAATATACTTAGAGCCCCGTTTGGAATTGCACGCTCCTCCTCAAAGTGTAGTTACTAGCAGGCGTGCCTCCGGTTAGGCTTTTAAGTTGCCAGATGGACTTCCCTGATACACCTTGCAATCTACATTCTAACATAGTACAGATAATAATAGAGAAAGGAGAAGAAAAGGGACGTAAGTGGGTGGGTAGAATTCTTTTTTTTTTTTTTTTTTAAAGTTGGATTCGGAGTCTGGAGACATTGCAGTGGCTTGTGAATCTTTGAGAGGATTGCCCGTCCTGGCTTGCAAACTCTTCTTCATCAATGACCTGTGGTGAGAATTGCTCTTTTCCAAGTCAGGAAAATCATCTCGTCCTCTTGAAATATTTATTTTTAACCTCCGCTGGGTTTGCAAGGAGGCTGGCGTAGCCTAGCGTGGCTTCAGCTGTATGGGGGACGGAGTTCTGATAGGGAAGAGGACTTCAATGATGACCAGATGGTCAAGAGAGAAAGTAGCCAGGAAGAAGAGGGCTGTGGGTGATTGTTTGGAGACCCTTTTGCAATATATTTTTCTCTCTGGGAGCTTGAGCCAAGTTGGAAGAGTCACCATTTCCAGCTTGGCTTAGGATGTGAGTAAGCTCTTTGCAAGTCCCAGGACATGATTGCAGTCTTGCAAAATATCCGTGAATAAAGCATGAGAGGCTTTAATCCCCTTCTTCCTTGCCTAAATGTTTGCTGCGCTTTGAAATTTCAGCTCGGTTGCCTTCACCTTTGTTTGACTCACTGGGAGGTGATTGCTTTGGTGGCTTTTAATAGCTCTTCAAACCCCCCCCCCCAACCTGCCACAAACACACCTCCTCTTCATTTTTCCTTGACACTGAAGCAAGGAGCATTACTGTACATTACTGTTCTGGCAGGGAACTGCTGTGCCAGTATTTATAGTGAGTGTGCAAAGATTCAGGGCTCAAGTGCAAAAAGCAGGAATTGCAGATATTAAAAAGTTTATTAATATTAATATTGAAATATTAAAAGCAAAGGGCTGTGATGTTTAAGCGGTGTCTGGAGAGATGTATCCAAAACAATATGGTACATCAGAACTGCTTTGCCAGATTAGATTGGGTATGATTTATATATGGTACTATGTTTTCCGTAGGATACTTCTTGTCCTTGTTGTGGAACTAAGACTTTCCTTGCTGTCTGTGCTAAGTGTTTAATGCCAGATGCTGTACAGGCAGAAGTTCTCTCTAGCTCAGGAAGAGCCTTATGTACCTCTAAGAGGTGGTAATTTCCAAAACCTAGCAGCCCAAGACACCATGCAGGTCTTGGGAACATGATCAGTTTGGGAGGTGGCACCCTTTCTTTCAGCTACTTGGACTATTGTTATTCCATCATCTTCCCAAAATGAATTCCCCTTCCTCATCTAAGGATCGTATGCACAGAAACAAAAATGCATCTTACTTCCATTGCCTGTTCTAGGAAGTGTATAATTCTTCCAGAAGCTTGATTTGTCTCTCTTTTTCCATGTTGTTCGGTTTGGATCATAGCCACGTTCTTCAAGGCGGCACCTTCTGCTATCTCCTCTTTGGTGGGTGATTTAATGGCGGGTCCCAATTTACTAATAATTGTGAGAACATGGTTTAGTGAATGTAGATATACTGATAGAAGAGAGTATTTTTAACTCAAGGTTAAACTCATGGGGTTTTGGTGCTGTTTTCTTGTAGACATTTCATTAACCCCACTTAGGTAACGTCATCAGTGCTAGAAGGGAGCGGGGTTTCTAACAGAATCCTGATGATATTTTGTACTTAGGCAAAGAATTATGTACAAGAAAGCAACCAAGCATAGGGAGCACCAAGGACACCCCACGACTGCAGATATTTTGATCAGGATCCATCAAGGATTGGTCCTTGCATCCTCCAATAAAATCTTACTTAATCTCTCTTTTTTTTCTCTCTCTCTCTTTCTCCCTCCCCACTTGCTTCTATCTCTAGGTCTTCCCTCTCAAACACTACCAGGACAAAATCAGGCCTTACATCCAGTTGCCATCACACCGAAACATCACCGGGATTGTGGAGGTCATCCTCGGAGACACGAAGGCGTATGTCTTTTTCGACAAGGACTTTGGTGACATGCATTCCTACGTTAGGAGCTGCAAGCGCCTGCCGGAGCAGGAAGCCGCTAGACTCTTCAAACAGATTGTCTCTGCAGTGGCTCACTGCCACCAGTCAGCCATTGTGCTGGGGGACCTCAAACTCAGGAAATTTGTGTTTTCTAATGAAGAAAGGTGAGCGGATGGGCCTACGGGATAATTGGCTTTCAGGTCTCTCTCCACAGAGAATCCTCAGAAGATGTGTTCCCAATTGCCACGTCTAATGCTTAACTATAGCCTTTGTGGTTTTTTTTGGTTTTCATCACTAGGCTGGATTTGGCCCATGGCCGGCCAGTTGCTTACCCCTGCTGTGAATCCTATACCAGTTCTCTGTATCAAATAGGCCTCTTTAGAATGAGGAAACGATGGCGATCCAGTCTGGGGAAACTAGTACTTTTGTCTTTTCTGTACGGAATAATATCTGATAACACCTCCCATAATGACCTCTCAAGGTTGACTCAGCCTTCCATCCTTCTGAGGTCGGTAAAGTGAGGACCCAGATTGTTGTGGTGGGGGAAGGCAATATGCTGACTCTGTAAACTGCTTAGAAAGGGCTGTGAAGCAGTATATAAGTAACTGCTATTGCTATAATCTGCACAAGCTGCAATGATTCTGATGATAGCCCTGTGAAATTATACCCTTAATTGCTGTTGGGAAGGGCAGATAAGGCAGAGCATGTTTGACGGACAATGCTCACCCCAGACACAACATATGACCTCCCCTTTTCTTATTTCAAGTCCAACATTTTTGCCATGCTAGTAAGTGAGTGATGTTACATAAACAGCTGCCTCACTTCTGCCTGGGATCCAAAGAACTATTCTACACTGAAAAATGTCTAAATGTCTAGTGCAGTGTTTCTCAACCGTGGCATCTTGAAGATGTGTGGACTTCAACTCCCAGAATTCCCCAGTCAGCATAACCTGCTTCCTGTCTAACAAGAAGCACCGGCGCCTTGGTTTGCTGGCACCCTCCAGGCCAAGGCCAGTGCAGACTTGGGTGCCTTTACTCCCCCTCCTAATCAGTGGTGGGATGCTGCTGGTTTAACAACCGGTTTGGTGAGCATGCGCTTTGTGCGAGCGCGTGCCCAAGGTGCTTCTGCGCAGCACTGAAAATGGAGCATTACTCAGCTGCTTACCTTCCAAGTCAGCAACAGTAAATAGTACAGTGAGGGGGGCCCAATCAGCTGTGCCGCGCAATTGAGAGACGAGCTACAAAGCAGGAAATAAAGGACAGAGTAGGGCAGGGGCAGGTGGGCAGGCTAGCTGATCGTCGGAACTACCAGTTCGTGCGAACCGTTCCAAACCGGCAGCATCTCACCACTGTTCCTAATGCATCGTTACTGTTATAAAAATATGAAGAGGAGTTGTGAATTACTTATTGGGTGGTTGTGAGTTCAAGGAAGATAAAGCATTCAACCCTGTAACAAAGAGCAGCCATAAAATAATGCCTCAAATGTGACACAATCTACCTGCCTCTTAGATCAGCAAAACAGGCTGAACGAGTAGACAACAAATTATATACAGGTAGTCATTTGGCCTACGACTAAAATGGAGCTGAGAATTTCCATTGTATGTTATGGGGGTTGTAATCGTGACACTCGCATAACTGACCCCAAGCGTAGGACATTTTTGTGGCTGTCATTAAGCGAATGTCATGGTTGTTAAGTGAACTCATTGTCCCCGACGTGTGTTTTGTTGCTGGAAATTAGATATAAATTCCGGTTTCTGGCAAAAAAGAATATGGGACCAGGGGATGCTACCAACAGCGGTAAATGCAGGCTGGTTTAGCAATCGTCACTGCAGGGGGAAGCATCAAAACTTTGAATGTGGGTTATAAGTTGCTTGGGGGGGGGGGGAGGTCTGTCATAACTTGGAATGGCCAGTCATAAGTTGAAGACCACCTGTAATGGAGACTTTTCCTCTTCCATTAACCCAAAAGCTATGTGTGGGAGGATTGATCCATTCTTGGGGAATTCTGGGAGTTGAAGTCCACACATCTTCAAGCTGCCAAGGTTGCAAAACACTGGTCTAGTGAAATGTTTAATTTTAAATAATGGCAATGTAGGCATAGGGACGCGGCGGCTCAGTGGCTAAGACGCTGAGCTTGTCGATCAGAAAGGTCTGCAGTTCGGTGGTTCAAATCCCTAGCACCGCGTAACGGAGTGGGCTCCTGTTACTTGTCCCAGCTTCTGCCAACCTGGCAGTTCGAAAGCAGATAAAAAATGCAAGTAGAAAAATAGGGACAACTTTGGGTGGGAAGGTAACAGCATTCTGTGCGCCTTTGGGCGTTTAGTCATGCTGGCCGCATGACCACGGAGACGTCTTCGGACAGCGCTAGCTCTTCGGCTTTGTAACAGAGATGAGCACCACCCCCTAGAGCCGGAAATGACTAGCATGTATGTGTGAGGGGAACCTTTACCTATAGCACTTTTTTTTTTTGGAAACCCGACATGGTTTCTCTGTTCATGACTTCCTTGGGCTACTCTTTACACCTTGAACCTGATGGTGCTGTTTTTATTGGACTGTTTTCTTCCTTCTACATTTTTCTTCCTCCACAAATATCACATAAATATCCTTTCCAAAGAAATCACGAAAAGGTTCCCAGAGAAGCACGAACGTTTGTTTATTTAAATTGCAGTTCTTTCCACCTCTTAAGGTCATTTTTGTGCTTTTTTTAATCTACATTCTTACTGGAGCAAATAAATACATAAGCAGGATGGCGTACGAACAGAAACCTGTTTGTCCCAGAGTTGTGAACGGGCTGTTTGGTGCCAGATGCAGGCTTCTCAGCAGGGACACACATGACTAGGTTAATCCTTGTTGGATGTTTGGTTGTTAAGTTTTTTCACTGAGGCTCGTTTGTGCACATCATGCCATGCGTGCTGCGGATGTTAAGTTGCCATATTTGCAAACAAATAAATTCAGTACAGAACCCAGGACGGGATTCTGATTGCTAAGTGGAATAACTTAATTTCGACTTAACAGGCTCGAGCTGCAGGCATGAGGTTGGGGGCTGAGATGTTTGAAATCCAAAATGCTTCATCTTGATTGAGCTGAAGCTCCCAATGGTTAATTGGGCTTCCATCCCAAAAAGTTTAAAAAGAAAAAGAAAAGAAAGAAACTAGCATAACTGGTCTATGAATGACTTTGTCCCAGGCGGTTTGACTTAGATTATAAGGTTAAGGTGTGCGGCGGAATAGACATGAATGAAAGGTTGATGTAATTTTAAGTGTCATGCATTTAAATGAATTGTATTTGGGCATTGACGGCAAATGAGAGTTACATAAAGAACCTGTTATGAATGGCAGAGTTGGGAGAATGGAAGAAGCTACAGAGAGATGTTACAGGCTTAGCCAGGAATGCCATCGGTGACACAATGGGAAGGAATGACTGTGTTTTCTGCAATTGTACAGCCTATTTGTGTGCCCGGCTATTCTGTCGTTCAAGAAAGTCTTGAGACTGGAAGGCCTACATGCCAACTTGGTTTGATGTAGAAGGAATAATGTTGAGCATTTGGGGTCAAGTTTTAATACACAATTTCAGCCCAATTTTTCAGTTTGCTAAACGAGACAGTTGCTAAGTGGGTTTTACCCCATTTTACGACCTTTCTTGCCACAGCTGTTAAGTGAATCCGGTTGTTAAGTTAACGATGCGGTCATTAAGTGAATCAGGCTTCCCCATGGTCAGAAGGTTGCAGAAGGGCCCTGGGACACTGCAATACCGTCATAAATATGAGTCAGTTGCCGAACATCTGAAATTTGATCAGGTGACTCTGGGGAAGCTTCCACTGTCATAAGTGGGACAAATGGTCATAACTCATCTTTTTTCACTGCCGTTGTAACTTTGAACATCACTAAACAAATGGTTGTAAATCAAGGACTATCTCTCGGATGCGCAGTTCGGCACCATCTCCCTCCTACCCCCAGTGTAGCTTTCCATTGTACTTTCAGAGAACGGATCGTGTAGTTTGTGTTAATCACAGTTTGTGATGTGTTAGCTGTGATGTTTTAGCCCAGTTTCTTGGGTATCTTGAAAAGAATTGGGTCAGTGGTGGATTCAAATATTTTACTATCGGTTCTGAGGTGTGGCTTGGTGGGCGTGGCAGGGGAAGGATGTACTGCAAAAATCTCCATTCTCTACTCACTCGTGGGGAAAGGTTATTGCAAAATCTCCATTCCCTCCCCACCCCACTACCCTGCTTTCCAGCTCCATTCTCCTGTGCAGGGCAACAAAAGAAGACCTAGCCAATCAGCTGGGACTCGGGAGGCAGAGAAGAGATGGGGGCGGGGCCAGTCGGAGCGGGTATTTGCCGGTTCTCTGAACTACTCAAAATTTCCGCTACTGGTTCTCCAGAACTGGTCAGAACCTGCTGAATGCCACCTCTGGATTGTGCGGTCGTTTGGATCTTGGCCCTAAGGGTGGGGGGGGGGGGAGAGAAAACGTTGTGAAGTTTTAATGGATGTATTTCACAGCCTTGGGTGCACACTGCTCCCCACCCCAAACTCACCGCTGTGCCAACACAACACGAGGTTACTTTTCTTTGCTCTCCTCTGGAGATAAACTGGAGGACCCCCTTTAAAGAAAGAGTGCTGAGGGCACAAGGGAGGAAGGGAGGAACTTTTGAGATCCTCTCTTTGAAGATGGTTGGGTCATGTGCCAGCAGGCCCAGAATGGGTAGGAAAAAGCAGCCCATTTGAACTTGGTGGGAGTCTTGCTTTTGGCATCCAAAGCAATTTCACGCCTGATTGCTGCAATCCGTACATTACTTTGAAGTGCTGGAGCGCAGTTGCTTGTGAATGCTAGGGATTGTGTCGTTAATTCTCCCTGTATGCGCATGCATGCTCTGAAGCCTTTGGTGTTTAATTTCAAGTGTTTTTGGTTTGGGTGAAGGAGCAGCTGATTGTTCTGTGTTAACATTAAGGAACAAATTATTCCCAGCATAATTCTGAATTCTTCAACCTGGTAGGGGTTGCACTTCACTATGGACTGGAGGTTCTGTGTCTGTCTGGTAGATGGCATTCTTTTCCCTAAGAGGAGATTACGCCGCCTTCTTGCATTTAATTCCTGTGTCTGTCTTAGTCCCAAATCTTTTGGGGTTTTTGGGGGGAGCGGTGGGGGGTTTCAGGGCTCCTGCTGCAAAGTAGCACTTCTGAATAGCACTGGGATAGAACCACTTGTTCAGGAGGGTCTTAAGGGGGAATGCTGGCTAAAGGATTGCCCAACTGATGCAGAGAGGCTGCCATTGTATTTGTGGAGATGCTTGTATAAATCTATTTTAGTTTTCTTGCAAGTTGGAAGAAAGGGCTTGTTCATATTATTATGAAAAAAACAAGGAAGTTGTGATTTGGTGTTAATGCTTTATTTTACTGCAACAGAAAAAGTTGGAAGTCAATGTTTCTTTTTCTTTTTTTTCTTCTTATCCTTCTTCACTTCTCTTCCCCCTCTTCCTCCCTCTCGTTTTCCTATTTACTTTGATATTTTGTATCTTATTTTATCGTATAACTCAATAAAAACGTTAAAGCAAGTTGGAAGTTGATGTTGCTGAGTAAGAAAGCTTGAGAGGTGGATTTGGACTATCTGCCTTTTTCGAAACCTGTAGTCCAGCTTTAACATGACAAATAAGAAAGAGGGAAATCAGGTGCATTGCCCCAACTTTGATGTCTGCAGGCATGAGGAGCTACAAATAATTAGCAATAGCACTTAAGACTTATACATCATTTCATAGTGCTTTTACAGCCCTCTCTAAGCAGTTTACACAGTCAGCATATTATCCCCAACAATCTGGGTCCTCATTTACTGACCTCAGAAGGATAGAAAGCTGGTCAGAATTGAACTTCTGGCAGCGGGCAGAGTCAGCCTGCAATACTGCATTTTAACCACTGCGCCACCAGGACTCATAATTGCTAATAACATGGTGCAAAAAGCTGGCAAAGTGAAAGGAAGGAGCTGCAAGCAGTCTGCAGAGTAAAATGGGATTTTTGTGAGCAGAGCAAGGGCCTATTTCAGGGGTCCCCAAACTTGGCAACTTTAAGACTTGTGGACTTCAACTCCCAGATTTCCAGTGAGCCAGATCCTGAGGGAATATCAGGGCCTTACGTAGATTGCTGGCTGAGGAATTCTGGGAGTTGAAGCCCACAAGTCTTAAAAGTTGCCAAGTTTGGAGACCTCTGGTCTATTGGTGTAATGTATGTCTACGTTGTGCAAATTTAGTTGATTCTTTTTTTTTTAGCTAACTGAGATAGGTGAGCACACCTGTTATCGGAAAGTATTTTATGAAGATCTCTATGGAGATTCTCCATCAGCCGGGTCATGGTTGTCCCAAAAGTGCTTTTTTTTTTTTTTCCAAAAGGCAACTGGACTTCCTTGTTTTATTTTTTTTTCCCTTTGGAAACTTCTCATCCAAGATGCTTCAGTCTTCTGGGAAAAGCTCCTTTGGGACATGTTTTGTAAAAAAAAAAAAAAAAAAAGCACAAACAGGCTGTTCTATTAAATGTCCTGCTTTGGCACATGAATGTAGGCACCCAGAGTGACAATTGGGACAAAGAGATTGCTGAGTGAAAGCTTTCCTGGGGAGGTGGGTTTCTGCGCCATAGATGAAGCTTCTGGCCTGTTTGTTCTCCTGCTTCGTGTTTTCAGTGCCATTAGGTGACTTCATGACTTCGAGCCATCGGGCGCTCAAGAAGGGTTGAACAGGCATGTGTGAATCAGTCAATCAAAGTCAAGGTTGAAAGCCTGCGGTGAAACAATGGCCCTTTGGCAAACCAGCGGAGTCTGGGGACGGACGAGAGCAATCTATCAGAAAGTACACATTGACCTAAAAAACCTGGCAACTCTTTCCTCCTTGCAGGGAGAAACACTGGTGTGTTTGGCTGCCTGTGATAAACTGAACCACTCGCTGAAATAGCAGATTGCACTCCGCGCTGCTAATTTAGAAACCTAGTAATTGCGCAGGGATGAGGTTGTGAGTCGCGCGTTTGGTAACCCCGGGGGTGAAGCAACATTGGGCAAGAGGTTAGCCTTAGTAAGCGCAGGTGTGAAACTTGGATCTCATCAGCCGGTTGGAGAGCAGGTAGTACAATCTGAGTCATATTTTCCATGTACAGGACCAGCTAGGAGAGGGGGAAGGGAGGAGGGAAGGTCAGGGCAAGGAGGCTGGCCAGCCAACTGTGTCAGGAAAGTGGCACCCCCACCCCACAGAAAGTATTTAATCCACAAATATAAGATTAAACAGCACTCCAGCAATGCAGGGTTTGGGTGGAAGAGAATTCCGCATAAAAGCTGCGAAACCTGCATGGCTCTTTTCTGTATATGTGTTGTGAATTGAGGGGTGGGAAATGTTGTATAAACTGAACTAGAGAGTTACAACTATTTCAGGAACAAAAGGGATGTAAGTTTTGGCTGCCATCCCATCAGCGAGTTAAGGCTCGATGTCACCGAGACAAAACTGGCTTTCATCCAAGCCCATCGTTGCCCTGTGAATGTGGCTTGCTGTAATGGAGACTCTTCCATGAGCAGGTCATTTCCTTCACCTCCTTTCTCCTTCGATGACTGACAACCCATTGAAAATAGTTGTGCGTTGGATACCGACTCTCTTGTGGCCTCATTCAGGCATAGAAGTTTTGCAGTGGTTTTAAGAGGTGGCAATTCTAAAGGAAGCAAACGATGGCTAACTTATTCCCTTTAGCTGCATTACAGATAGTTCTCAACTTACGACTACAGTGGAGCCCACAGTTGCCATTACTAAACAAGACAGTTGCTAAGTGAGTTTTGGCCCCATTTAATGAACTTTCTTGGCACACAGCTGTTAACACTTCAGTGGTTCAGTTAGTAACACGGTTTTAATTGAATCTGGCTTCCCCATTGATATTGCTTGACAAGGCCTCAAACGGTGATCACATGACCCCCCAGGCGCACTGCAACTGTCATAAATATGAGTCCATTGCCAAGCCCCTGAATTTTGATTAAGTGACCCTGGGGTCATAACTGTGAAAAACGGTCCTAAGTTACTTTTTTTAAAATGCCACTGTAACTTGAAACGGTCACTAAACTAATAGTTGTAAGTCAAGGACTACCTTTATAACTTTGTGTCATTGAATGAGCAGAAATGCATTTTTACTCATTGAGCCATGATTTCCATTGGTTTAATGTTTCAGGGAGCAGGTGTGTGAGCCATTGGGGTTCAAAAGCCAGGCTCCCGAGCCTGTTGACTGCACCATTCAATCAACAGTAGCTCACACGTATAATAAAAGTGGAAGTGTCCTTGAGGCTGATGAACTTAGGTGAACTCCATAGCATGTGCTTTATATGCTTTTATCACCTCTGCAGATTAACCCTGTGTAGAAACTCTCCGCGGTGTTTTGATATGCAGGTTGCTGTTTCAGAAGAGTGGGCGAACATTCGAGAGACGCACGGATGTGCTCTCTTTGCACGTTATGTGTGTGAATGTGGCGTTTACATCTCTGGCATTCTAACTGAGGTTCTCTCCTCTTCTGTCCTCCAGGATGCAGCTGAGACTCGAAAGCCTGGAAGACACCCACATCATGAAAGGAGAGGATGATGCTTTGTCAGACAAACACGGCTGTCCGGCGTACGTCAGTCCGGAAATCTTAAACACAACAGGAACCTATTCCGGGAAGTCGGCTGACGTTTGGAGCTTGGGCGTTATGCTGTACACTCTCCTAGTAGGACGGTATCCCTTTCATGACTCGGATCCTACCGCCCTCTTTTCCAAAATCCGGCGCGGACAGTTCTGCATCCCTGAGCACGTCTCTCCCAAAGCGCGGTGCCTCATCCGCAGCCTCCTTAGGCGAGAACCCTCTGAAAGACTCACCGCTCCGGAAATTTTGCTCCATCCTTGGTTCGAGGCTGTTTTGGAATCTGGGTATGCCGACCAGGATATACGGATCTCTGATCAAGTGGTCCCGGAGCAACTGAAGGAGGACGATGATATGAGCTTCTTCTTTTGCTAGCTCCGCCGACTCCCTTTGCCTCGGGGACGAGAGAATGTTGCTCTTGCGTTCCGCGTTTTTTTGTGTCCGTTTTTTTGTGTTGGTGCACATGTGTGTGTGTCCATCTTGTAAATGCATCGCTTTCCAAAAGCCTTCCTCTGCTCAGGATGACTGAGACCTCAAATGCACTCATCCCACAGGTGGAGGGCCTCTTTATCTTCTCCCACGTCCACATGGAAAGCTTCCAGAAAGTTTGAAATCCTGGCTTGCTAAATCTATGGGTTCTTCCTTGGTGTTTGGGGGACTCTGCCATCCCATTCCAGTGCAAGCGTGCTGCTGAACGTTTGAACTAGAATCTGGAGAAACGGCAAGCTAATGTTGGATTTCATTGGAAAATCAGATTGCTTTAGCTGGAATTTGAAGTACGGGCAAGTCCTTGACTTATAGCCATCCACTTAGTGACCATTTATAAAGTTACAACAGCACCGGGGCGGCGGGGGGAAAGCGACCTAGGACTGATTGTCACACTTAACAACAGCGTTGCAGCATTCCCCACAACCACGTGATTAAAATTTGGCCACTCGACAACATGTATTCCTGATGGTTCCGGCATCCTCTGGCCTCATGTGGGGTCACCATTGGTGAATTTCCCAGCCAAACACAGTCAACGGGGGGGATGCTGGATTGGCTTAACAACTGCTTAATGCGCTTTACAAGCAGATTGTAAAATGGGGTGTGACTCACTTAAACAACCTGCCTTGCTTAGCCGTGGAAATTTTGGGTCTCGGTTGTGGCCATAAGTTGAGGACTTCCTGTATAAATATTGCAGCCTCTGTTGCTTTCCTTCTTTCCTTCCTCTTAATAGAAAAGAGCTTTTGAGCTCCCTATGCCTGTTCACATCCACATGGCCTGGTTTTGCTGCCCAGTTTACTGTTACAGCCATGACAGAAGTGCCAGAGGATTCTCCTGCCTCCCGTCCATCACATGGAGATGACAGGATCACCAGCTGGCCTTTGATTACAGAATCTTTTAGCTGGTGATGTAAGAGTGAAATGCAGTTGAGGTTCTTAACGAAGCTGGGCAGATTACAGGTTAACAGAGTTATAGGGGACCTTGTAGGTCATCTAGTCCAACCCCCCCTGCCCAAGCAGGAGAGCCTATACACCAGGCAGGACCAGGACATGATCCCAGTGCTAGAAAGATGGGTTGGCATGTATATATATATATAGATGTGGAATAGGAGTCTGACAATGATTTTAAATAATCCGTTTCCCTCACGGGGCTCTCGTTATCTTTCAGGCCAGAGTCCAATGGTTGTTTTGTTAGTTTCTTAGACAACAGAAAGTCCAACTTGAATGTTTCGATCTTCAAGGCAACAGGCTGTGTATCCCAGTCTTGCAAAACCTGTTGATCTTAGAGGCTTTACAGTTCGAAACCCAACTTGGTTAATCCAGACTTAAGGCTGCTGCTTAGCCTTTCAAGAGAGCTGTCGTTGACGGGACAAATCCGGCAGCTAAATCTTTTGTTATTTTGACCCGCAGAGCCTTTGATAATCTAGAATTAAGTGCCCTTGAGAGGCTGAATACAGAGACTTGCTCACTTTGGGGGCGTTTGAGGCCTGGTTTCCACAGATGTCAATGCCTTGCATTGTGGTGCCAGTCCCAAAGGTGCCAAACTGCATTTAGCTTCCAGTGTTTTCTTTTTTAAAAAAAAGAAAGTTCAGAGCCATTAAAAGGAATATCCCTGGCTTTAGAAAAAAGACCCCAGTCTCTCTCCATACGTAACAACCTCAGTGGACCTCCTAAAATGGCTTCCATGCCATCTGAGTGAAGGGGCTCTCAGTGCTGTTCTGGCAGCTATATTCTTGAATATCCATGGGATTTTAACCCTGAAAAGCAGACAGAAATATGCCCCTAGTGAGGGAGGGAGGGAGGGTCTCCAGCCTTGGCAACTTTTAAGACTGGTGGACTTCTACTCCCAGAATTCCCCAGCCAGCTTGCCTGGCTGGGGAACTCTGGGAGTGGAAGTCCACCAGGTTCTCCTCTCCTTAGAACAGTACATTTAGCAACCATTTGAAAATTACAACTACACTGATTAAAAAAAAACAAAAAACGGAGGGAATTACAACGGTTTGTCACACTTAGGAATGTTGCAGCATCCCAGCGCGATCAAAATCAAGATGGGGAGGGGCAAAACTCACTGTCTCACTTAGCAACAGAAACATTTGGGGCTCAGCTGTGCTTGTAAGGCAGAAGGGCTGCCCGTATTTGATAGAAAAGGTGAAGCCGGCCTTTCAACTTCTTCCATGACTCAGCAGTCGAACAGATGGGGGTGCGCATGTGACTTGACAATAACGCACTGTTTATATGTTGGTGTCTTTAAGTACAAGTGTTAGCCAAGGGAGGATCTGTGTATGCTTACCAAGGTGTGACACGTTCACACCCTCTGACATCGCCAGCAAAACGGAGTTCCAGGAAACAAACAGAAAAGGGCTTCTATCTCCAACTCTGGTTTTGTCACCCAAGTGTGCTAACAACCCAAGACCAGAGGCCTCCAAACTTGACCACTTTGAGACTTGTGGACTTCAACTCCCAGAATGCCTCAGCCAGCCCGCCAGTCCTTTTTGCTGACGATGTCAGAGGATGTGAAGGGCAATTTCGTAAACGTGGCTTGCTGAGGCATTCTGGGAGTTGAAGTCCACTAGTCTTAAAACTGCTGAGTTTGGAGACCCCTCGGCCCAAGACCACACCCGCAGAGAATCCAGTCATTCCAGATAACACTTTCAAAGCCCAGTCTTGGCTTTTAGATGCCAAATGTTAGCGGAAGCCATCAATTTTAAGCATGCTTTCTCAAGCAGTCATGTGAAAGGGCCTGTTTCTGACCTTGTTTGGTTCCCTTGTATCTGTGGAACTGGGTGTTGCTCTCCAAGCAGCCTCAACATCCGAATACAAAACACACCAGCTAAGGGTGGGGTGGCCTAACCTGAGAATTGAAGATAAGCTGTATCTCGTTGTGTAGACTGAAAGGCAGTTGTGTTTTGGCTTTTTGTGCAAGTATGTGATGCAATGCACTGGCTCCCTCTGTTCTTGCCGAGGAGCTCAACCAGGAAGCAATACCAGCGTGTTTTCCTTTTGACTTTGCCAACTCTAATCTATAAAACTCTCCTTTCTTCTGTCTTCTGCATTTTCGTTTCTTTCTGGCTGTAAGAGATGGTCCTATTTTAATTTGTGATCCATAATTAATGGGTCTTTTGCATAAGCATTAGCTTCCCGAGTGGGATAATGAAGTCTTTGACATTCGTGTCAATTCCTGTTAGTGTAAAAACAGGCTCTCGTTGCCGAATTGTAGCTCATCCAGACAGGAAAATTTGAAAGAAGCTTGTGATAATTGGAAGATGAGTTGGTTTCTTTTGCTGTCGATAATCGCAGTCCAAAATAAGCTGAATCTGTTGTGGGCAGGCTTGTGAGTGTGTCTGTGCAGAATCCACAAAGAGCATGTTTGATGGGAAAGCTCTTAGCTTACCAGGACTTTCAAGAAGTAAAACTACAACTCCCAGTATGACTGGTGGTGAGGCATGCTGGGAATTGTAGTTCAGCTAAATGTGAAAGGCCTTAGATGCTGGATAAGACCGCACTGTAGACTAACGTAGCTTTATCTTTCAAGGTACAATGGGAAATGTAGTTCCATGAAACCATTGCGGATAATAAGTGGCATACAATGACTGCAATAGCCATAGTTTCTTATAGACAGAGCTGAAAAAGTGATAGTGAGGTTTTAAAATCTCATGCGATACTATTTCAAGGCTTTTGCAAAAATAAATAAGTAAAAGGGCTCCCAAGATTCAGTGTGCTTCATCTCCAGTGTACGTCCTATGCAGTGTTTTGTCACCGAGTTCTATTTTTCTAATTTAATAACTATGGTGTGTGTGCCCTAAACAAACCTGAGTTAGCAAGGAGCAGATTAAATGTGAATGATGGCTGGCAATACTAACTTGATAAATCAAGATAATTAGAGGTGAAAAGTTGTTGACCTTAATTGCACTAAGGCTCTTGTGATTGCTTTAATATATTTGTATCTGTGATACAGTTTTTTTTTTTTAAATATCTTTGGACCTGCCTATAAATCTGTATATTTTGGTAGGTGGAAAGTTAATAACACTGTTGAAACTCTGTAAATATGTACATATTCTGAGGATTATCATGACGAAAGTTGTAAAATTCCTGTACAAAAAACTTTAATAAATCTGGTTTCATAACAAATTGTTCACCTCCTTTGAAGCTTTATGTAATTTCCTCATTTTTGATCCTGCCGCAATCTTGCAACACTTGGCACTTACGATGTCCCAGTGAAAACAAATATGTCAGAGTTAAAACAACAATATAACGCAAATTGCAAAATCAAAACTGGAAGGAGGAGAGAAAAATGATAACAACTAGAGGTGTAGATAATGTTATTGGAACAACTTTTTTTTAAAAAAAGGCTCAGTTTTTAATAACTTTCTAAAGTTTCTTGGGAGGGGCTGCTCTGCTTTCAAGGAAGCCCTATTCCACCACATTTGGTGCTACTCCAAAAAAGCGACATTTACTAATGTGCAGGATCCAATGTGCATCTGTCACCGGAACCCAAAGGTGTGTCATTCTGGAGAGAGAAGTTCCCTGAGAATGGGCTCCAAAGACTTGAAAGAATAAATAAGAATAAATCTCTTGTTCTGGTGACTGACTCCAATTGGATCCTGCAGCATTAGCTTGGGGTACGTATATTTGCCTTCATTTGTGAGAGAGATGGGCAGCCAATGCTTTGAACAGTTCTAGTTTGGGTCCACTTCTAGAAAGCTGGACCAACAAGGAATCCCTCTTTATATGACGTAGTAGGCCAGGTGGAATTTAGTCAGAGAAGGTAGTCTGGGAAATACTCCAGAGTTTTGTTGACACGATTTAAATTGGGTTCTGGTAACCAGGGCAGGGCCCACACTCTACATATATGTTCCCATCATTCTGGATTAGTTCTAACTTCCTGAGAGCCTTTAAAAGCAGCCTCATGCAAAGGACATTACAGTAATCCAAGTATGAGTTGCAGTCACCAGGACTTCTTGCACCAAGAAAGGATGCAGAAACCCTGCTACTGGGTAGCTTGTGCTCGTCCATCCATGGATCAACTGAGACCAAAGGAGAACCAGACAGAAGTTCCATATTACTTGGGTTCCATTAGAACCTGGTTCCCCCCACCACCACCCCCGCCCCAATCCAGACCTTCATTAGTCTTCAGGATACATATAATCTCTCTCAACAACTTGGAGTAGTGATGTAGAATTCTTACTGAAGAATTGTACATCAGCAACGGTCATTTATCCCCCCACCACTCTCCACCTAATCTTGTTCCAGTCCTGTTAATCCAGGGGTATCAAAGTCAAGGCCTGGGAAACCAGATCCGGCCTGAGGGGTGCTTAGATCTGGCCTGTGGGGCCACCCTAGAAACAGTGAAGGACTGGCCCGTGGTGCCTTTGCCAGCAAAAACGGAGTTCAGGAGGGCCACCGGCGACCCTCTGGAGCTCTGTTTTCGCTGGCAGAGTGCTCGGGCCGCCACAGGCGCCCCCCCGACGGGAGTGATGTTGAGCTGGCCACGCCCACCCTGACCCCCTGAGGTCAAACAACCCTGACGCGGCCCTCAAGGAAACCGAGTTTTGACACCGCTGTGTTAATCCTGTGCTGCTCCTCCCATTTGTGGCGGTCATTTGTGGCTGTGTACGCTGGAATCCCCCCAACTCACAATAACTAGAATAACAAGAATGACATGGGACGCAGGCCAGAATCGCAGGAGGGAGGTTCTCTTTCCCAGAGAGCAAAAGTGACAAAGAAACTTGGAATCTTTGGTATGCAGAAAGAGAGCGAAGGTAGGCTCTCCCTAAGCAGTTCACAGGATATTTCTAGTGGTTATGCGGTGCTTTAGCCTGGCAAGATTTCTGTCACAGGCAAGAAACTGCTCTGAAGTAACTCCTTGTGTTGCTCTTGATTGTGTGTCTTGGACCAGACACACAATCAATCTTTAGGACCATGGCAGGTGCCTGCAAGTATATTTTCACCTAAGTGTGTCATCTTGCCTATTCCTGGCTCCACAAGGTAGTCCTCGACTTGCAACAGTTCATTTAGTGACCGTTCAAAGTTACAACGGCACTGAAAAAAGCGACTTATGATCATTTCTCACCTTTACGACCGTTGCAGCATTCTCCAGGGTCACATGATTTACATTCGGATGCTTAACAAGTGACTCACACTTATGACGGTTGCAGTGTCCTGGAGTCATGCGATCCCCTTTCGCAACCTTCTAACAAGCAAAGCCAACGGGGGAAACCAGATTCACTTAACAACCATATTATTCGTTTAGCAACGGCTGCGACTCACTTAACAAACATGGGGAGAAAAGTCGTAAAATGGGGCAAAGCTCACATTTTTCACTTAGCAACAGAGATTTTGGGCTCAGTTGTGGCCGTAGGTTTGAGGACTACCTGTACTTGGTTAGTTGGTGAGCAGGAGTGTTTACCCAAAGCTTTCTTTTCAGTCCATTTCCTGCTCTTATAGGACTAAAAGCTAATTACTCCTGCCTTCTCAGCTAGAGAATATGCATATTTTTTTTCCGTAGGTGGATTGTATAGGCAAATTATAGGAAGGTTACATCTATTATAATTGATGTCCAGCAAGCCGTTCGTCATCTGTGATACTTCTCACCACCTCCAGTCCTGCTGCCAGAGAGCTTAGTCAACGAGTGAAGCAATGTAAGGATTTACTCAGCTGAAAGATTTCATTTATGCTCAGAGGTGGTATTCAGCAGGTTCTGACTGGTTCTGGAGAACCAGTAGTGGACATTTTGAGTAGTTCGGAGAACTGACAAATACCACCTCTGACTGGCCCCGCCCCCATCTATTCTCTGCCTCCCAAGTCCCAGCTGATTGGCTGGGTCTTCTTTTGTTGCCCTGCACAGGAGAACGGAGCTGGAAAGCAGGTTAGTGGGGTGGGGAGGGAATGGGGATTTTGCAGTATCCTTCCTCTGTCACACCCACCAAGCCACTCCCACCAAGCCATGCCACTCCCACAGAAC